CCCTATATGTGTTAGCTGTAGATTTGAACAGCTTGGGAGATACTGGGGTGGAGGCCCTCTAAAACACCAGGGAGTCAAAACTAGTTCCCTTTCATATCTTAAACTCTTTTTTTAATCTTTTGGGGAAAAAAAATAGAAACTTTCTTTTTTCAACTGAAGTTTGGTTTGGGATTTTTTGGTAACACATGGCATAATAAAATAGCAGCAAACAAAATACTATGATGACGAAATAAGGAATGTAGGGGAATTTTTTGCTGTTGCTGCTGTTGTATTCTCTTCAACAGTCCAGCCCAACCCCAAATGCTTGGTTCCCTGGAAAGGGACAATATTTCTTCTTTTGGCTCTGTAATATTCCCTGGAAGGGATCCTCTAAGAGGCAGATATCTCTGGCACTGTGAGGTTAGTGGGGTTAGGAGCTAGATAAAGGGCAGCCACAAGAAAAGGAATTTCTGGACCTTGGAAGTCAGAAAGTTTTTGGAACAGCAAACAGAAGCTGAAAGAGGGAGTGGAGAAAGTGAGAGGAAAAAACGTTTGCCGTACTGGAACATAACTGGAAAGATAAAGTTGACTTGAGGGAAAACCATGAATCTGCATTGTCGTGCAGAAATATCTTTCCCCTCTGCTAATGCAGCTGCTTCAAACATCTCATTCCTAGAGAGAGATTTGAAAATTCCAGGGCATGAATGGCCAGTGTTGTCAGGCCCAGTTTTGTTTTTTCCTGGCCCATGAGCATTGCAGAGGTCCTAGAGATGCAGTGGAAGGGGAACAGTGAAATTCTGATGTGTTTATTGCACCATTTGAACAGTTTGAGCAAACTAACGGTCCTGTCTGCATTCGAGACCTGAATGTGTTGCTTTTCTTAATGAAGTGATACCACCAGGGGGCAACTAACTATCCATCTGCCTCCTTCTGAGCATAAGCTACTCCTTTTGGGGAAATTTTGGCCACTGAAGAATTTTGAATTGGTAGAAATCATTAAAAAAGTGTTCAGTAGTTTCCTTGTCAGCTGTAAAATATATTTGCAAGTGCAGCAGACAAGCAGCCAAATGGAGGTATGTAGTATGGACATAAAGCTTTTTCAGAATTTGCTGTGTTAAATATAAGTGCTTAACATCTTAAGTTTTTTTCTTGATGTAAAACTAAAGGAAAAAACAAAACATGAATATACTTTCAAGATTTAGTGATAATAAACATATAATGCTGTACTTAGTGCCATGGAAGGTGCACTGGTTTCAGCTGTGAAAGATTAAATAAATTCCACTTTCTGCCTAAGAATTAATTAAGAATGAGTAGACTCTGCATAGGTTGTATGACTTGAAACAGCTTATGATTTATGTTGACTTCTTGATATATTGCAGGTTCTTCAGCAAAAGCACTTGTGAGCTTGAAAGGTAAGAAATGAATGTGTTGTTTACTTGTACCTAGTCTGACTTTCAGGTGTACTTAGTTTCTGGCTTCACAAAGTTCGAGAACATACCACTGAAGAAAGTTTTTTGTTGAAATATGATTTGGTTTATTGTAGATATTTGTTAGTTCTCTAGACTAATACTCCTTGGCAGTTGAAACTACATATGTTGTGGTGTATTTAGACACTGCTCTTCTGGATGAAATTCCTGAAATGTGTTTTTTTCTTTGTAAGTACTACCAAGGTGTCAGGTTTGATGAGAAGATTGGGATAATCTTTCCTCTCTTGAGGACAAGATGCGAGAAGGATTCTTAGCAAGACCTGTGTATGTGACAGAATTTACATTAGGAAGGCATTTCACAATTGCATTGTATTCTCTGTCAGCAGGTTGTGGGCTAAATCAAAAATCTACTGCTGCTTGTATTTTTTTCTTTGAAATTGTCTTCAGGAGCATTCATACAAATTTTGAATACTTTTAGTTTGCCCGATAATAGAAGCTTCTTTATGTATTACAAGGCCTCTGTTACATAAGGAAGAAGGCATGATCTGTTGAATATGTTGTAATATAGGTTTGTTGTAATAAAATTTGTTTTACTTGTTGATCTGCACCCACTTCATACATTTCTAGAACCAGAAGGTGGCTAAGTCTTGTAGAGCTGTACCTTCTGCAGGTTTGTTACAGCCACAATTCAGTTGTCTAAATGTGTGTCAACCTGACAGTGGAAGTAACTGATTCCAGCAAAGGAGGTTTCAAGAAACCTAAACACAGACACAAGTAAAAAATGTTTTGTTCGTGTTTCTCCTTGTACTGAAAACCTCCTTCATTTTTTTTAATTATTGTTCAGAACAGTTTAATGAAAATATTGAAATCTAGAATCCATTTGTAATTGAATTCAAAGAAGATGTTGCAAGTAAAAAAAAGTATTTTATTAGTCGATGTTATACGAGCTTTTGGACAGTGATTATGTTGAAAGGTACACTTACCTATACATATATTAATGACATACTTTCTTCACAACAGAGGGAAGCTTATCAAGTTCATGGAATGAAAAGTACAATCCTCTGCAGAAAACGCACATTTGGAGAAGCAAGAATGCTGGTTCTGCAGTGGAAATGGTAAGAAGTAAAAAAAAAAAGCAGATTCAGAATTAGTAAAATACTGTAGAATGAATGAAATTTAAGGATCACAAAATTTGACTGAGATTTATCGTTTCAGATGTCCAAGTGTTAAACTATGTCCTTCACAAGCACTCTGCACAGTTTGAATATGAGGGACAAACATATTTTATAAATGAATAATTGAACAAGTTAAATTGCTGACCTTGTTCAAGATAGCTTGTAATAATTTTTTCTGTGTTTTTTGTAAAGCAAGTGCTGTGTGAAGTATTTGTACTGTATGTACCACCTTGAGCTTAGGAATCACCACTTCTGATCAACTATTTTTGCGTCTCAGTAAATACCTCACTTCTAATTACGGCTGGGAACTGACACATAAAGGAAAGGAAGGGGAAACATCATAATGCACTTCCATCATTGTGCCTTCTGGGGAGTAGATTTTAATAAAAGTAGAGGAATGTCAGTGAGGTGTGTGGCGTTCTGAGAAGTCTCATAGGAGGCCTTACATTAAAGAACAGCCTTGGGGTGGGGATATGAAATGAGCCTGCAGCTGCCAAGGACATATCTGGTGTTTGGGTTGACAGTTTCCCTCTCTCTTCTCGAAATATTTTGAAATATTCTTTCCCTGTTGTATCACAATCAAGCTTTTCTTGACTGTTCTCAACCTCCTCTGCCTTAGAAAATTATGGGATTTTGGTTTGGTTTTGCCACCAGCTTTATTGCACCTGGTTTGTCTACATGTGTAACACTGCGTGCTTTCATTTTTACACTCTGGAGAGTATATGAAATACCATCTCAGTTGCTAGGCAGATTGTTCTCCCATACTCCTGGTGCCACCTTCTACTACAGTATTTGAGACCCACTTGCCAACTATCACCTGATTTTTATTAAAATTATTTTTTTAACAGTTTGTTTATTTGAAAACTGTCATGCTTGCCTGCTCTGCAAATAATCAAAATATCTGAGTGGCATCTAGTAGTACATTAAGTGATGCTCTTGTGTGAGACACTGACAGTCCAGAATGATGAAACACTCTTACCATTTTGGATAGTTTATTGGAATAGAATTTGGCAATTCCTGTTGAGGGTTGTAAAACGGTTTGCTTGATCTGGATCATAATGATTTGGTTACAAACTTACTAAATATCTTTCTTAAGTGTAAATGCTTAATAGTGAAGTTTTATTTCACTTTGTTGATTTATTTTGTTTCTGACTCCTGTGAGGGACTTATATTTGTTATCAGTATTCTTCACTTTGTTGGTGTTACAGTTTTCATACCCCGTATCAATTTGCAGCACTTTCACCCTCTATATTGAAAGAAGTCAAATCTGCATTTGTTCTGCCTTTACTTGTCACCTTTGTAAGTAGTTTGAAGTGCAAGGAATACCACAGAGTGCAGTTTTGGGATTCTGTAAAGGAGATCCATTTCAGTGGTGGCTGTCTCCTGTGCTGGGCCACAAAGTCCTGGAGGGAAAAGCTGCTTCCCCTCAGCACTAACAGCCAGTCATAGGTTACTCTTTTGTCCTCACTGAAGGCACAAGTTTTTTGTCATAGGGTAAAATGTTGAGGAATAACTAAACATATTTTTTATGGCACATTTACAATATGGTTTCTTGTTTTCACTCAGCTTTCTAATTCTCTCTGAGTTGTAACATCTTAGCACACAAGTTAATTTCAGTTAGCAAAATTTAAATTCTAGATTCTTCTCTTTTCTGATATTTTCACATAACTTATTCAAGCTTTAGTTTCTTCAGACTTCAGCTTCTTAACATTTTGCAGTGTAGGGACCTTCAATGAATTAAAAATACAAGAAACCCACAGCAATTTATTAGGCTCATTAGAAATCCTTGCAAAAAGTTATATGCAGCTAATGTTTTTACTGAGAACATATAAACCAAATCCACTGTTTGAATAAACCATGGTTTTGACCTGAAATTTAGAACAAACAGATGTACTTATAACCAAAGCAATCCTGTATACACAAGTGTTTAGACACCTAACTCTAATGGAAACAAGTGGGAGTTAAGTTCTAAATACTTCTGTGAAACTGGGCCAGCAGTATAGTAATGGGTTATAGTTAGCATTGGAAAGCTTGGAGTCTTGAACTCCTTCTCTCAATCCTGAGATCTCTAACTGCTGGGAGGCACTATTTGTTGTGTACCATGTGCCTTAAAACCAATAGGTGGCAAGAGAAAAGGCATTTTGTCTCCCTCACTGTGAATTTTGTGCATGAACAGAGAAATCAAGTTTTCTTCCTTGCAATTCATTCTTAATTTTGATACGTACAGCCCTTCAGAAATTCAAAACGGAGTCGACTCTTCTGCGAAGAAGATGACAGACAAATAAACACAAGGTCACCCAAAAGAAATCAGAAGGTTGCGATGGTTCCACAGGTACCTACATGTATGGAGATATTTTTACCAAAAAAGGGAACAAACCTACCTGTGTTAGTTGAAAATTAGAATAGATTTGCTTTTTAAGTTACATTTTTGGCTTACAAATGTTCTTGTGAGGAAAGCTATTGCTGGGAGTAAGCCGCAATTCAAAACAGATGAATATTTTTCTTCCTTACAACTGGTTTCCTCAGTTTGTTTATGGGAGTACCTGTTCTTTGTGATCCTGGATATGAACATGCAGGGCTAGAAAGGATTCCAGACTAATTGCCCATCATGCTCCTGCAAACAATCGTATCCTGTAGTCAACATAAATTTATTCAGCTTCACTTAAAAACTTGACTATGTGTGTTGCACTGACTACATCATTTAGAAGGCTGCTATAGGACTTAATGCATCTCAGCAGTTAGGAACTTGCTGTAGATTTATGGCTTAAGTGTATTTATGGCCATCTATACCACTGTACCTTCTGGATCCTGTAATGGTAACGTACTCCAGTTCAAACAGTTTGTTTTATTGCTTCTCCACTTGATTGTCTACTCCTTGATACAGCATGAAAGAACAGCTGTTAATATCTTTTAGCCTTTATTCGCTATGTTAGACAGGGCAACATCTCTTAGTCTCAATTAATTGGCTCTGTAATACCTTTGTCATCCAAATCACTTCTCTATACCATCACCTTATGAGCCTGAATTTACCTCACTGAAAAAGCACTGTTTGAACACTGGTCTTATTTGCCTTCTGGACTGCGTGTGCAGTGTCGAATGGGGAAGACTTAGCACTCGCCATTTTGCTGGGTCCATTTGGCCATAGAGGAGGACCACGACATTTCTCTTCGTTACCATGACTTTGTAAGAGTAGGAGGACTTGGGTAATGTTCTAAACCCAGTTAGTTTGTGCTTAAATGTCTGGTTCAGGAGATCCAATGATTGCTGGATAAATATTTGCAAGGGACTGCAGCTGCCATAGTTTGCAGATCTTGCTGTCCCACTAGGCTTTGTTTCCTGGAGTTCCAGTGGGAGAAAGGGGACCTGTATCTAGTGTAGCAGGAGCCAGCAAGGTGCCTACCTTATGCTTTATCCTATCATTGCTGCTGCTAAAGGCCAAAATACTTTTGAGTGTTTGGGGAAGAATAACAACTGATGTTGGCATGGGGACCCAGTTAAACTAATAGTCTCAAAAAGCTGTTATTTTTTGCAAATAAGTTTTTCTTTCTGTCAGTTAAGACAACCATTGCTGGAACAAAACTACAGAATTATTTTTCTATGGTCTTGTTTAAACACAGGCCTATGTATTATGCATGCAATCTAAGACAGTGTCTTTTCTGCAGTCTGTGAAATAGCTTCCAAATGTAGTTTGAACTGGATTTCTTATGTCCATGCTAGTTTCTCTTGCAGTTTTTTAAAAAGCAGACATTCCACTCAAAGCTTTGGCTGTATTATATTCCTGTGCTAGCTTCATCCTCGGCTTAAGAAGAGCGAGCAAGAGTAGAAGCCCCAGTGCAAATGAGGCAGTTGCTGTTGCTGGCATCTGAGCAACATCATGTATGCTCACCTGAGACAGTGTTCAGTGGTGCCTGAAGGTTTGGAAGTCTGCAGGTATTTTAGTGCCATGCTATTGTTAGCAATAATGTAGTTTTCAGTGCTGGAAAATGTTTCCATTAAAAGAGCCTTGTATAGATATCATCGATTGTATTGATCCTGCTGAAGTTTGCTGTCTGCTTCTGCTCTGTTTAATTGCATTGCTGATATAATGCAGTAAGGGTTGTTATAGATCTGCAACAGAAAAATTGCCACGAAACAATACGTGCTATTAAAATGTAGCAATTATTAATGTGCAAAATTTTATCAAGAAAATCTGGCTTGGTTATTTGAATACTGAAAAATATTAGGCTGTGTTTAACCGTTTCCTTTTTTTTTTTTTTTCCCTACCTAGAAGTTTAGTACAACAATGTCAACACCAGAAAAGAAAGTATCACAGAAGATCGGTTTACGGCTTCGCAACCTGCTCAAACTTCCCAAAGCTCACAAGTGGTGCATATATGAATGGTTCTATTCAAATATAGATAAGTATGTCTGCTTTATATAATTCTCTCTTATTAGTATAGAAAAAAGTCATTTTCTGAAATTGAGCTGCGTAGTTCCATATATTGGTTAAATACTTCAAAGTTTATTCTAAATTATTAGTTACTGAAAATTATATCATTGTTTTGGTGTTGGGTTTTTTTAATCTTTTTTATCATGAACAATGTATGTGGGTAGTTCTTTGGAACTACCAACTTTGGGAAGTTGTCTGTGGAAAGTCTTCCTTCATGGATATAATTTTCTTTTTTGTCACATCTGCCTCTACCTGATACAAGATTTTATTCATAATGTTTTTAGCATCTGAAGCACGAAGTTATCAGAACACTTAGACTTCTTTGAACCATTGGATCAGTGTTATACAGGGGAGATAGGAAGGTGTCTGCTTCTTCATAAGGTGCTGCTTCCCTAAAAGGGGTAAATGTTGATATTGGATATTTCTTCCCCATCATCCTGTTTTTACCGTGATCACTAACAAAGCTCCAGGCTGTGACTATTCAGCTTTTCTCTAGATATCAGCATCCTTCTTGGATCTCTTAATATATTTCCTAGACTGTTTCTGCAATTTGTGCGTCAGAATCCGTGGCATTTTTAACCTTAACAGCACTAGCACAGTGGTGTAAATTGTTTAAAAGAACCATTTTAATTTATCATAGTCATGAAAAACTAAAAATTCTGAAATGTAAAAATCATTATTGAATGGAATCTTAAAATTTACACTGATTGACTAATGGATGAAAAACTAGTAATCAGTATTCTAAAGAAAGGCTTTGGAGTTAACAAGCATTATTTTCCAGAATGTACAAACAAAATAATTACTGTTTTTCCTTCCTATTTTAATCACAATTGCTGTAGCTGTTTTCCTTAACTGGGAAGGCAGTCATAGCAACAGAAAAACATTCTGGCATATATTCATCAGAAGTGGAAAAATTACACGTCCATTTTAGTTAGTTTTAAATTCATCATCTGTAGAGTTTAATTCCTTTGAAAGAAGTAGTCTTTGCATGCCATTTTCCCTCCTTATTTGAAAAAAATAAACAAAAACCCCAAACCTTACTTATTTCTAGTAGTAATTTTAATATGTGACATTTTTAATTATGATGTTTACAACGGTCCAAGAACTTTTAGTTTATTCTTAAATAATTGCCTGTGAAACTTCAGGCCTGTCAGTAGACTAGAATTTGAGTTTAGCAGGTAATTCTGAAAACCTCTTTGAGAGTTATCAATGTGTGCTTGTGTGGTGGGTTGACCTTGGCTGGATGCCAGGTGCTCATCAAAGCTGCTCTGTCACTCCCCTCCTCAGGTGGACAGGGGAGAGAAGATGTAACAGGAAGGTCATAGGTTGAGATAAGGACAGGGAGAGATTGCTCACCAGTTACTGTCATGTAAAAAACGGACTCGACTTGGGGAAATTAGTTTATTACCAATAAAATCGGAGTCAGATAATGAGAAATAAAACCAAATCTTAAAACACTTTACCCCCATTCCTCCCTTCTTCTTGAGCTCTGTTCCCAGTTCTCTACCTCCTATCCCCCAGAAGCACAGGGGAACACGAAATGGGGGTTGTGGTCGGTTGATCCCATGCTGTCTCTGCTGCTCCTTCCTGCTCAGAGGGAGGAAGCTTCACACTCTTCTCCTGTTCCAGTGTGGCATCCCTCACATGGTTCACAGTTCTTCATAAACTTCTTCAATGTGAGTCCTTTCCACGAGCTGCAGTTTTTCACAAACTGCTCCAGTGTAGCCCCCATCTATGAGGTGCACTTCTTCAGTAATGGACTGCTCCACTGTGGGTCCCCCATGGGGTCACAAGTCCTACCAGAAAACCTGCTCCAATGTGGGCTCCTCTCCATGGGTCCACAGGTTTTGCCATGAGCCTGCTCTAGTGTGGGCTTCCCAGGGGTTCACAGCCTCCTTAAGGCATCCACCTGCTCTGATGTGGGGCCCTCCAGGGGCTGCAGGTGGCTCCATGGTGGACCTCCGTGGGCTGCAGGGGCACAGCTGCCTCACCATGGTCTTCTCTGCTCCAGCACCTGGAGCACCACCTTCACTGACCTTGGCTAGGTGTCTGCAGAGCTGTTTCTCTCAGATATTCTTACTCCTCTGTCCTGCTGCAATTGTTCAGGGTTTTTTTCCCCTTCCTAACTGTTATCCCAGAGGTTCTACCACCATCAGATTGGTTCAGCCCTGGCCAGCAGTGGCTCCATCTGTGAGCCAACTGGCATTGGTTCTGTTGGATATAGGAGAAGCTTCTGGCAGATGCCACCCCTGCAGCGTCCCTCTACCAAAACCTTGCCACACAAACCAAATACAGCTTGTAGGACTTGTAAGATATGACCATGTTAAGATATTGTAATATTGTTTACTAAGAGACTTCATATCTTTGGAAGAAAAACTTTGATATATGTTGTTTTGAGTGATATGATCCAGACTTAATGAAAAACTTAAACTTTAAACCATAGAACTGTCAGCTGACAAAATATGGCTCACTGTACAAGTCTCAGAATATTTTAATCGAATTGTCTAATCCAAAATTGAAATAATCAATTTAAGTGCCATGTCTACTGTAAGTTTTTAAAATATAATATCTCTACATCTATCATCAGTGGGTATTAGATTATTCAAGCTGTTTCGGTAGGATTCTCTCTATACTGCTGCAAAGGACTGTTTTCTGTAAAGTTCCATTGACTTAAGACATGCAGAGACTTCTTAAGACATACTTACTACTGCAGTGAGATCATAGGCCCTCGGAAGCAGATGCACCTACACCTTGCTTACACCACATTTTCTGGAGCTTCCAATCTTGTGGATGCTGTGGGTTTGCCTCCTTAGGGACAAGTGATAGTAAAAACAATCAGATTATGTTTCTCAAAGGAGAAAAAACTCAAAGCAGTTGTTTTTTATACAGATATCTTATAGTAGCATCAATAAATATGGATCAAATGAAACCCTTGTATATGTTTCCTTGCCTGTTTCCTGAGCCTCATTGATCATTCTTTGTGATTTCCTTTTTACTTCATGCCACAGCTGCAGATCCTTCTATTGCAAAACTATTCTCTTCCATTCTTGCCCAAGTCTCCTTATCTCCATGAACTTTTCCTCTCTCCTGCCACCCCAGACACTCACTTGAAAGCAGTGTTGCTTCCAAGATCCTCTTTGTTCTGTGCTTGGGAATATTCCCCTCCAAACCCCTGTACCCAGCAGAGAGTGGAGAAAAGTGGCTTTATCTAGGATTCAGTTATTCTTTTGTTCTCTCCGGGTGAGATCTATTTCAGTTGCACGTAGTCTTTAATGATTAACCTTCTATTAGATGGGCATATCTGTTGCTGCTCCCTTGTCTCTTCAGCCTAAGAAGGATGTGGTACTACAAAGGTAAAGGCAGTCATAAAACAGAGATACAGGCAGGTCATAGCATCAAAGAGAAATTTGTAAGTTGTGTAGGTATGTTCTCTGAGCTGTCACTTCTCTAATACCGATCCTCTGCTTCATCATGGAGTCATGGTATGATACAATAAAAGTCTCACCTGTACAGCTCCAGAGAATGAAGAGTTGGTTCAATTTCCTGTATTTTGGAACCCTCTGTTGAGAATCTGGGTTACAATTGAGTGAATTGATGAAAAAAGGTACGGTCTTTCTCAGTGTCACATTGTTCTCCCCTTTATTCTCAGTACCTCACTATATCTTTATGGTTTCCTTCAGTGTGTTGCAGTATCCTCGTCACACTGCACTAGGTTTGCTAAAGTTTCCTTTGGTGCCTTTATGGATGTTACAAAGCAGGATGAATACATATGTTTCCTTTTGGTAACAAGAGATAGGAGCATTTTTAAACATCAGTGATAATGCTCAAAGAGACCAATTGTCCTGGAAACTTTCTGGGTTTGTTTTCAGTTGAATTTATTTCAGGTTAAAATTGTTCTTCGAATTAGGAGTGTCTTGTGTATGGAACTAATTTATACTATTTGTTTTCAATGTATTTCTTATGATGGATGTTTTTTGGAATCTCCTGACAAAAGTTTACTAAGTGCAGTTAAGATAGGACCACTTATGTTTCAACAGGCCACTATTTGAAGGAGATAATGACTTCTGTATATGCCTGAAAGAATCTTTTCCAACTTTGAAAACCAGAAAATTGACAAGAGTGGAATGGGGTAAAATCAGACGATTAATGGGAAAACCACGGAGGTAACTTTTTCTTTCTTTCTTTTTGACTTACTACATGTAGTTTTGATGTTACTGGAATTGTTCCTTTTAAAGTAATTTTGCATTCAAGTGATAAAACAAAACAATAACTTAAGAGTATTAAAACATACTCATTTTATTGAAATGTTTTCTGAGCACCCCCCTCTCCCCTGCCCCATTCCTTATAGGCACGTGTCCAGTCCATGAAGTTCTCAGGAGCCCATACTTGAAATGTTCTCTTCACACTCTAGATAACTGAGTGCCCAAGCTAGGATGTGTTGAAGTTGTTATTGTATCTTCTATGCTGCAGTGCTTCCTGGCATGGAAGACCAGCCAATTTTTCACTAAGGTTTTATTCTGCCTATGACTAGCTCTTCATGGGGAAAACAACTGCACGTTTTCATCTCAGTGATTTTATTATTATTATTTTTAAACTGTTTTGTAGATCCTCAGCTTTTCCTGGCTTGGTTAGCAAAACAGAGAAAAGGTAAAGTCACACATAAAATATTGGACATTGTAGAGAAGAAGCTAGAATTGACTGAAGGGCATAGTTTTTTCTATAGTTTAGAATTTTTAATTCTGAAACCCACTGATTCAGTTCAGCCTTTTCACAGAATCTATGCGATTTAGCCTAGAGAAGAGAAGGCTAAGGGAGGATCTCATCTTTGTGAGTGAATGTCTAAAGGGAAGGCATAGAGAAGACAGGGCCAGGCTATTTTCAGCATTATCTGGAGACAGCACAAGAGGCAATGGGCACAAATGAGGCGGTAGGATCTCCGTCCTTAGAGGTCCTCCAAGGCTTTCTAGACATGATCCTGAGAAGCCTCCTGTAAGTGATTCTGGTGGAGGGATTGGAGCAGATGACCTCCAGAGGTCCTTCCAAACTCAATCATCCCTGTCATTGTGTAAGATCAGGAGAAAAAAGTGTAAGAAGTGTTTCATAAATAAAGCAGCCTTTTGTTTGCAAACACTAAAGCACTGAATCCATTTCATAGAGAATTGTACTGAATCAGATTATATTTTGCCTGTGAAGACCATTTCATCATCTCTACCTATAAACAACTTGACATAAGTAAAAATTGTCAGTCACGGGAAGGCAGCAGAGCCAACTTAAAAACAGCTCCTCTTGGAAAGATGTTCATGTCATTTGAGCTTAACTGAGATAGCGTTTCATTCTTCTATTGTCATTCTTCCTTCTGAGAGGGAAATTGTGTATTTAGAGGTTAAATCATCACTTACTCATCTGAGTAATTTTTAAGTAATTTTCTTTTGCCAAAAGTGGGTACCTCTGTAATAGATCAGCTCACCTCATTCAGCAGTCTGTTGGATCACTGATAAAACTTCATAGAATCTTAGAATGGTTTGGGTTGGAAGGGACCTTAAAGATCATGTAGTTCCAACAAGGGCTGGGGGCAGGAAGCGTCATGGGAAGGGACACCTTCCACTAGATCCGATTGCTCAAAGCCCCATCTAACATGATTAGGTTGAAAACTTCCTTCTGGTTTTGAGTTTGTTTTGTTGTGGGTTTTTTTTTGGTTGGTTTTTTTTGCCCTTTTTTTTTTTTCTTTACCATGGGGCAGTGTTTTTTGTTTTGATTTTTTTTTTTTTTTTTTGCTTAGATGTCATACAGTTAGTTCTTTAAAAAGAGAGACTCATGCTGAAGGAACCACAGATCTAAATGGGCAGGAACGTGTTTTGTCTGAATTTTGAAGTAGGAGTATTTGACTGGATGAAGAGTTTGATTGGATCAAGGGTTGGACTTGATGATCTCAGAGGTCCTTTCCAACCCATCTGATTCTATGGTTGTTTGTTAACAATCAAACTTCATGAGTTCTTGCTTTTTAGCAACATAAAATAAACATTCCTGTTTACTTTTTATTTCTTTACTATTTGAAAAAAAACCTTACTGGGAGTCATTTTTAAGATGTCGTGACTGGTCTTTGGCCTTAGTTTTGAAATATTTGAATTATTCTAAATAATTTGAATCCTTTTTCAAGACAATTTTCATCTACCTCCAGAGCAAAGATTTTTTTACATTATTATGACGTTAGAAATTTCTTCTGTCTGTACTCATCATATGGAGGTAAGGTAAATACCACGTCAATACTGATATCTCCCCATGAGGGGTAAAAAAATTTAAGACATTTTGCATCCACAGTGTTGATGGCAGAGGAAAATAGTGTCTCTGTGATAGCTGTCCACGTGGTTGTCCTCTTTTTTTTTTAAGTTTTGTTTTAAATATATTGTAATATTTTCTTCTGTCTGCTACTACTTTAAACGTCCTATCACACATCAACAGTGTGTTTGATTGACACAGCAGTATTCATCATGAGAGCCTGCAAAGCTTGTAAGATTCCAGTAGACTGTGGGGAAAGATATGCTCCAAGAAAAGGAAGAGGTAATAGTTAGTCTTGTGTACTCTGTTTAAACTTAATTGGGCTTGTGAAATAGCGATGGATATGATTGAAGCTCAGATATGCTTGTCCTGCCACTACATGATGACTCCTCTGTTGGTTCAAATTCTCACGACCAAAGTAAAAACTGAGAAGAATGTTCAATGTCTTAGAAAGTCTCTACAGAAGATTAATGAGATTGCAGTTTTGATCTGTACCATAGTTTTAATCTTCATTTTTTCATAGGATGGCATAAAGATGGGATAACCTTTATTAAATGCATTTGGGGAATGTGGGGTTGGAGGTTTCCTTTAAGAGAAGCCAGAAATACGTTGCAAGTACTTTCTACATCCATAATCTACAGCATTTGGAACAGAGATTTTTAAGAACATCTGAGCTAGCAGCAAAACAGTAGTTGCTGTTGTAGGGACCTTGCAGGGTCAGTGATTAGTATCAACATTTGAATTTGTATTTCTAAGAGCATGGGTCGAACAACATCTCATGTTTCTGATACAAGACTCTGGATGTGATTAGAAGGACTAATATTAAAGTCTATGTTGCTTTCTTTTTTTTTGCCTTTTTTGTAGTCTTGCTGTAGTTAGCCAATGGAATTGAAAAGCTCTGACCTGTATTTTGCAACTTGATATTCACAGCCCACAGCAAGCTTATCACACCTCTTCCTCCCCAGTGGTAAATATGAAGCAAATAGCATTTGTTAAGTGAGAATATCCAAGTAAGCTCTGCATAAGCCTCCCAACCACCACCCCCTCTCTCTCTCTACCATATCCCTTTCTAGATATTTTAAATTCCTGATGAGGACCAGTAGGCAATACACAATTCCAGGTAAACGCATTCTGCTCTTCAGTGGTGAACTGGTGAGTGGGACATGCACCTATGGTTGCTCAATCTACAACACAGTTTCCAGGCTATACAAAGACTATGATGACTTTTGTGGTGATTGTGATTGGAAAGCCTGGTACAGGAACCTTCAGTGCATTACTGCATGTACCTGACAAAAGGACCTCACAGCTTCAATTCATTCTTGCTTATTTTTTTTCCATGTCTTGCTTAGGACTAGGATCTCATTGCATTCACACTGGACACTCTGGACAAAACAGATGACCTGTGCAGCTTATAACTTAGAAAACATGTATAAGATAAAAGGCAATTGATGTCTGCATATAGTGTGAAACTGCTGACCAGTATGAAAGAAAATGGTCCCAAGATCCTGGTGGCTTAGTGTTTTACAGTCGTCTTATACACACTGCAAGGAAGAGAAACTGTGGCTTTGTGGAACTCTCCCAGTGAGGGGTACACAGAAGAAAACATGAGGATGTTTGTTTCAGTATATAATAAGCAGACTTGAAAATAGGAGCTGACTGCTTAGTACTAAGTGGGAAATAACTGAGGACGATCTTAAAGGGATTTAAATCAGAAAATAATTTGCAATGTAGAAGGGGAAACGAGCAGAGGAGTTGAGTTGACAGTGTCTTCTAAAATAACCTCATAAAATAGAATTTCTTATTGATCAGTAATCAATATATAACTGTATGACTTCCACAGAAAATGTTTAAATTGCATTCGACTGCAGTAAAGCAATTAACAAAGGTAGCAAATTATTTGATAAATAACTGCTTCTGCAATTAAGCAGACCTACAATAGCATCTGTCTGCCTTTTTAAAATTACTTCTTTTATTGACACAGGAATGAAAAACCTTTTTTTAATATAGAATGAGAGATAGGATTGAGTCCTTAATGTCTTTATCCTTTCAGTGTCTCCCTCACGCGTCATTCCTATTCAGTGGGTTAAAAGTGAAAATGAATAAAACCAAGTAAGGGCCTTGGGATTGAGTCTTCCATCTTTTATATTGCATTTTAAGAACAACCCTCCCCTCCCAAAATGGGGAAGGGGACTGCTAGAGATTATCTGATTTTACCTAAGATCAAAAAAAATTGTACTTTTACTACAATCTCAGAACAGTTAATTTGCGTTATAGAGATTTTGGGGCTGAGTTGTACTCTGCACAGGTGCAAGGACATGAGACAGAGAAGTGCCCCTTTGTGTGCTGAGTCTGGTGTCCTTTCATACTAAGTTAGTTTATTTGAGCTAATAAGCACATATGGAAGGGATCTCCTGTGTACCAGTGTGGCAGTTTAAGCCACATTAGAAATCTAATGTCCAATTTTTAGGCTTCCCCTCACCCCTTCCCACAATTTATTCTAACACCGGAGAGAAACTTTCAGGCCAGAGGCTTCTGTAGGGGAAGGGGGAAGTATATACATTTATTTACACAAATAAATACTATACAAACTAAAGGCAGCTATATATATATATTACATTACTATCAGTCAGTCCTTTCAAGCCCCTCCTTTAACTTTAGTCCAGGAGCAGCCTTTAAGGCTGATATGTAACGCAGTCATTTGCTGTGGGAGTGTTCTGGGCTCCTGAGCACTTCCCCTCACCAAGTTCTAGTTGTTCGTTGCAGTTTCTCTCCTCACGAAGTCCAAGAGGATAGCTTTGAGTCCTTGCTCTTCTGTTGCTGGTGATTTCTCCCTCTCGGTGTCTCATCTCGGTTCGTAGGCTGCTGTAGTGTAGCTTATCAAGCATCTGTGTCCTGGAATCTTCATTCCTCCACGTCAGTTCTCAGCTGTTCCCGGTCAGCTTTGGCAGGCAATTCCTGAGCTCTTGTCTTGTATCCAATTTCGCCTGGGATTCTTCTCCTGAGCACCGAGCTGATTTATCAGCCTGTCCACTTGGCTCTGCTCAAGTGCTGAGCCTTAAAATCCACCCCCCACCAGCCTAAATGCAGTGGGGGGGAAAAAGCCCCCTAGCCTTGGCCACAGGCAGCTCGGTTCAGTTATGCACTGTCCCAAGCGTCCCGCAGCTGCAGGGGGGGGGAAAGAAGGCCTGGCCTCCTCCCTCTTACCTCAGGTGCTGTGAAATTCTTCTTTCACAGCACACACTCCAAATGCTGACTCTAACTCTAGCCAAAGGCTGAGCTGGGGGGGTCACAGGGCTCCCCTCTCCCCCCCGGAGGGGAAGAAGGAGCCCAGCCACCCCCTGGCCTTGTCCACCTACACGCAGCAGACACCAACAGCAAAACAACCAAGACAGAACTTCCAACAGCTTCTGGTGCTGTGATATATGATTTTGAGCAGAAGCAAACAACATGAGTGGTGATTGGCTCTCCAGGGAACACGGTCCTGGCACCCAATCACCTCTGAGCCCCCCCGGCCTCTCAGGGGGGCCAACTTCAAACTATGACAGCCAGTAAGTGTTGACAGCCAGGGATCTCACAGTCCGTCTTCCTCACATGCATTGAGCTGGCATCCAGAGTAGATTGGGTGTGGGACCTGCTTTAGCTTTGTTGTGACACCAGGTGGATCCCTATAAGCAGAAAAAATCCTAAAAAGTTGTACTCTTCAGATATACTGATGCAACAGCTAGTATTCGTATATTTTTAAATAAACTCTTATTTTAGGAGTGATAATTCTGGGGAGTAATACTGTCTAAACACATTCAATGAAATTCTTTTCCCTTGAACACATCACCCCAAGTTTTTTCATTTTCTCTCACTGATTTGTAAACTGTGCCTATTTATTTCATGTGCCTTCGCATATGTATGTTTTCAGTGCTGAAGTTAAGTACAGTTTTACCTAACTGTATTATAGGTGTTCCTCTGCATTCTTTGAGGAAGAGAGGTCAGCATTAAAACAGAAACGGCAGAAAATAAGACTTCTGCAGCAGCGGAAAGTTGCAGATCTTTCACAGTTCAAAGATCTTCCAGAAGAAATTCCATTACCGCTTGTAATAGGAACAAAAGTTACAGGTAATTTCTTAGAAACAAACAAAAAAGCAGCCAAATGTTTTGCAAAGATTTTTAGTAAGCCATAATACATTAAAGTGCACGTAATTAAATTAAATGTAGGACATAAAAAATTGTACGGGTTTTTTGTTAGTTCATTGAGAAGGTGCTTGTGAGGTTTAGCTAGTGTTAGTTAAAACAGTGATACGGTTTTGAGGTACAAACTTAGTAGGGTTTATTATTTCTGCTGTTCATACTGTGGGGTTTTTTAATGTCTGATATATCTACCAAATTCTGGAGAGAGAGAGATGCTTAAATGCAAAATAATGAGTGCTGCTTGAGAGTTTAAAATCTGTCCTAATATAAAACTTGAACTTTATTTTTCCATAAATATAAAAATACCTGTTTTGAAATGGATATACAATTGATACTGCATTGTAGTTGGACATGTATGCTGAACATAATATTGCCTTACTGAAGAAACTTACACAAAGCTGAGGAAGGAATATTGTTAAAAACATTCTTCAAGTTTTGTCTAATTTTATAAAAACTTGAATTCCTCCCTACTGTCTGATTATGGTTGAAATGCTTTTCACATAAGCATCTCCCACTCAGGCCACTACTGTTCATTGCTTTTTTTGTGTTCAACAACATTGCCCTTGATTCTTGCTGAAGAGCAGGAGTGCACAACACTGCCTCTCCCCACTCTCCTAGAGCTGTATCCTTGAGCTGGGTTCCACATTGTCTTTTGCTAAGTATGCAGTCATCAGAGGAGGTGATCAGAGAGAAGTGCTATGCAAAATCATCCGGAAATTGACTTTTGCCTGCAAAATCTGTCTGTCAGAAGGTATTGGGTATTAAACAGTGGGGGTTTCTTAGACATAAGTGTAGTGCTAAGGATTAGATTTGGGAAATATTTGACCTGCAGACTTAAATTTGACAAAAAATTGGGTAATATTTTTATTGCTTTTGCTTTTCTGGGTTTGCTTTTGCTTTTCTGTTTTTTTTTCCCATTTAATCTGTGGGTTTTAACTATACATATAAAGGATCACTTGCAAAAGGTGTATTAAGTCTATTTTTCTCAATGGTGTCAGAACATTATAGTGTTTGGTTTCTTGTTGTGTTTTTAAGCGCGTTTGCGAGGTGTCCATGACGGTCTGTTCACTGGACAAATAGACGCTGTGGACACCCTTAATGCTACCTACAGAGTGACTTTTGACAGGGCAGGTCTTGGAACACACACAGTCCCAGATTATGAAGTTCTTGTAAGTATTAATGACACGTTCTCAAAGTAGCTGTAATAAAAAAAAAAAAAAACTAAATTAAAAAAATCTACAGTGGTATGCTTTAATTAAAAATATTATACCCAGGTGGTATTGTCATAAAGTAGAAACAAGCGTAACAGATGCATGGGAAATTCCAGGATAATGAGCTTCTACTGTTAATCGTTTTACAGAGTAGGATAACCCTACTGATAAAAACATAATGGCTTAGGCTGGAATAATTTACTAGACCTACTATTACATGCTATTATAATAGCCTGAGTTCAATATGAAGAAATATATGAAGTGTAAGATCCCAAAGAAAATTCTGCAATGGGATCCCGCCAGGATTTGCAGAAAATGTTCAAGAAAACCTGGCCCTCTTTAATTTGCAAAAGTCAGGAAAGGCCTGTGGTAGTTGCAAGCAACTATTAAGAGTTGACTGAACTTCATTTTGAAACTTCTTGTGCTAATGAAGCTACCTGGGAGGATGTTGTTTTGGTCAAACAATTTGGGATGATTTCCTGGCTCATAGGCTTTTGTACCAGTTTACGAGCTCCAGGAATCGTTCCTGCCAAACAGTCTGGTCTAGACTGCAAGCTTTTAGGAGGACTTCATGTTCTTTTGTATCTTGTGTAGTGTTGAATCTGTGTAATTTAGAGTCTCTAGTCCCTGTCATGATCTGACTTTGGAACCTCTACTGAACCTCTGTTCAGTTGTAATTTGTCTGCAACTTGCCAGAAGAATTCTGGGAAATATTCCTGCAGGTTTTATTTGATGTGATGCTGGAACACTTTGAAAACTCCAACAGTGGAACAGGATTTTGAAGCTCCTGCCTAGACCAAAAGGAAAACATTAATCTTTTTGTGTTATTGGTTGATGTGTGGATGGGCATGGCTCATCCAGACTTTGAGAGGTGTGTAAAATTAATTAATCTGACACTTGAGGTATATCCTTTTCCTGTCTTCCAGAGCAACGAGCCTCATGAAACCATGCCAATTGCTGCCTTCGGACAGAAACAACGGCCTTCAAGGTTCTTTATGACTCCTCCCCGATTGCCATACACACCTTCACTCCAGTCTCCAATTACAGTAAGTTACTTTTTTCATGTAGAAGAAGATTTCATTGAAGATTTTTTGATACATCTTCATTTCATTGAAGATTTTTTGATACATGTTGAAACTGTTACCTTCAACAGTTTTTGAGATTAATTTTCTGAGGTTATTCAGCAAGATATAAAGGTTAGCAAAACCCTCTAAAACTAAGCTATTAATTTAAATGTTTTTTCCTATACAGGATAGTGATCCTTTATTAGGACAATCTTCGTGGAAAAGCAAAATTTCGGGCACAGATAGTGAAACACTTGGAGGCTTTCCAGTAGAATTCCTCATTCAAGTGGTAAGTGGTATTGTCCTTTTGTGTTTATTCTGCCAATTCTTCCGCAGTCAAATGACCTTCTGTTGATTTATGACAGTAATATCCAAATTAACTTTTGAAGAGATGTTAATAAGATTTGTTTTTATTCCCTCCTTGGCCCCTTCTTAGTTTTCTCACTTGTTCATAACCTTTGAAATATGCCGCTCTTCAGACCACAGGGGTCTCCAAAAATGTGTCTTCTTTTTCCCAGCTCTACCACTTGCTCTGGAAAAAAAAAAAAAAAAAAGACATTATTTCTACCTGCAAACATTGTACTGTGTTTAGACTCTTTTATTTATTTAAAATATACTGGCATTGTGCAAAGAACATTTGCCCATGTGCATTATCATATATTGTATAATGCGATATTTTATGTTATGTAATGTCCTATCCTGTTGGAGAAGAAAAGCAGCACTCATTTCCCTGCAAGCAAACATACCATGCTATATAGATAAGAAAACACTTTTTTGTCTTCACCTTAATGAAATAATTCCTCCATGATTTTTGTACACCAGTTCAGAAGAGTGTAGACAATTAATGTTAGAAAGCTGAAGTTCATTGAATATCAAAATTCACTGAAGCAAGTTACTTTCCAGGATGATGGAAGAATGTAATTGCTCGTGTTGGCGTAGCTTAAGTGATTGAATTCCTTAGCAATGAAAGCAGTTTTGAACATGCCAAAGGAGATTGGAATGACCTACGTTTAAAATACTAAGAACTGAGAAATAATATTGCTGAATGCCTCTCAGATTTTAAAGTCTGTGTAATTGGTCAAAAGAATAAAGTTGTGTGTGTAGCTCACATGACACATTAATATTTGGGTCATTGAGCATAATGAATTTGATTTGACAGAATCATCTATTAATTTTTTTTTTTAGGGAAAACTTCTATGAAGCTTATTTTGAAAAATGTGGCTTGGCATCTAGCTTAGCTAAGAAAATTTAACATAGATATAGTTGCAATAAGATTAATTATGCTAAAAATTGAAATACACAAAAGATATAGTTTAGCAGCATAAACAAAGACTGTCTGCAGCCTATCCTTGAGTCACTGTGATCAGTGAAACTGGGCAACTAAGGTGTATTGAGCTTTACAATTACTTTGTATATTTGAAATGTGAAGATGTGTGATTCCTCAGTCACGTTTGATGGTATATTTTACTCCTTATAAAGAAATCTGAGTTTTACAAGTATAGGCCTCTTGATTGTATTACAAATGGTGGCATTTTACAAAGATACCGCATTAATATGTATTTTTGCTTGAAGATTTTCAACATATTTTGAACAAAATCAATCCATGGGTTTTTGGCATTTGTTTATGTGAGCAACTTGAGACTTTATGCACCTTTTTGACAAAGAATCCCGAGGCTTAAACATTCATGGAAGGACTTGAAGCATCATTTTTAAGCATCTGTTTTTTATAGTAGAAGTTTAAGGAGGTACTGGAATTTGATGTTGTGAAATACATGAGACTGGTGAATATTGATTATTGATTGCACTGCATTCACCAGACCAGATGTATTTTTATGTTAAAGGCTACTGCTCAGGATGTTCTAGCCTTTCTTATATAGTGATACCTAAAAGAAGTTAAAGCCCTTTTTCTGATTTAATGGTGAGTCAGGAAGTAAATGATCAGAAAATGTTTGATTTGAAGAACTACTGGAGAACTACTGCAAGTTATTTATGAGACCATGAAGAAACAATTTTATGGGAAAAATTTTGGACAAAACAGAAAAAATGCAGCACACCTTTAATAAGATTTCAACTCAGCCCCCTAGTTCCCTTTTACAGATTTTGAAATTAATTTGAAAGAAAAGCAAGTGTATCCAAAATCACGTGCAGACACTTACAAATAAACGTTAGGGATATTCACTTTACATATAACTTGCAGTTGTAAGCAAATATTGGGACTTGTAACAACTATTTTAATCGTTGTTCTTTCTAAATCTTTATATTAATTCCTATATGTTTACAGTTTGATATCAGAGACTGAGTTTCTGGGTTTTACTGTGGACAGACGTGTGTTAGGAGAAGATTGGCTCAAAATTTAACATGATATTAAGAATAAAGTCAACAATAAATGAGTAATAAATTTTAAAAGAAGTCTTTCATACTTAGTTCAATATATAATGTATCCTTAAATATTTCATAAGCTATATGAGCAGGTCAAAATCAATAGATTACATTCTTACATTCTAGTCAACAAATTTGGAGGATGTTTTTCCAAGCGCTCAGCTGGAGGGTTTTTTTGGTTTTGGTTTTGGGATGTTTCTCCTCTTCTTGCCTTCTTTGTTTTTTTGTTTTGGGGTAAAAAATTCGATTTGAAAGGAAGCACTCTAGGACAAAGCAGATGTTCAGTGGGTCGCTGCGTGTCCAGTAGAGGGAGTGTTTTAATGCAGCACGGGCAGAACAGTGACCTGGTGTCTGCCTGATCACTGTGGGGAAAACAGGGATCTTCCCAGCTTAAATGCAGGAGGAACAGCTTGAAAATTGATACTGGATTTTTGACCATTTTCTGCTGATGAAAATTTTGAAAACACTGCGTAGTGAGTTATCATGCACTTCATTTTGAAATGCTTGTATTTTCTGACTAAAAAATGAAATCTTAAGTACAAATCTAAACATACTGGTAGGATTGTTCCTTCATCTTTCTTAATGTGGAAAAGCATTGTACTAAAAACTTGTTTCTGGTTTAATGAGTAAATAAAATACTCTTTACTTACAAGAATAAACAGGATGAGTTATGCTGAAAATAGAACTGTTATAGAAGAATTTTTCAAGGAAAATAGGGATAGATTGAAAGCATTCACAGATGACACTGGCAAATGAAAATGGGAGTCTAATTAATAAAATGTACCTCTGAGAGAAAGTTGGTGGATATGATAGATACAGTGAAAGGTCAGAGTTTCTTGTAGAAAGAATCAGATTATCTTGATTATATATCTGTAATATATCTGGGAATAGGATGAATATAATATAAAATCCAAGCTCATCAGCTGGACAACTAGGGCTATGCATCCTCGAGTATGTCTGGACCTCAAAGTGGAAGTAAAGCATAGAAATGAATGCCTTGCAAATTTGGGGAGCAAATAATATATTCTGCTTAATTTGGGGACTCAACAACTTCATGAAGGAGAAAACTTGCTAGGCAATTGCTGGATGGTGACAACAGCAAAGCTTGACAAGTAACTTTTGGCAGCAGTGGCAGATGGTGAACAGTGCTTTCCTTCCTCCCAGGTGTTTTACTGGCAACGTGAGCACTTGTGTGGTGTGTTAGAAGCGTTTTCAGAGAGATAATCCATCTCACAAGTAACAACTTTAAACCTTTCTTGCCTTTTTAAATTTATTGGTTTGTCATTATCGGTTCCGTGATTGGGTTCTTCATGCAAAATTCAAAGTGCAAAAAATGCAGGTGGTGGCTCAGCACAGACATTGGGGGACAGCACAAGGACAGAAATGAGCAGCTGTAATAGGGAGGGTGACAACCAATGCAGTATTGCCTGTGACTCTGACCATGGCTCGTCATCAGTTCATCATATGCATCTGGCAAAATATTTGTGGTAGAAAGAGAGAAGTATTGATGCCATTTTACAGATTTAGTTTACAGGTGTGTCATTTAGAATACTGGTACAGACTTCCTGTGCTCACAACCAGGAAAGATAACAGTGAATGGATAAAAATATACAGAAAGGGCCACAAAAATTTAGGAGATGAAGAAGTTTGTATGGGAGTGGAGTCTGGAAGGGATTGTATTGTGATTAGTATAGTGAAAGAACAGTGGAGAAGAGATGCTTTTATTGTCTCTGAATGAACAGGGATAAATATAAGGAGGGAGAGCTATATTTAGCTGAAAAACAGCTTTGGCTGTTTGGCAATTTGGAACAAATTGCTATGAAGTGAAAAAGAATGCATTTAGCATAGAAATTCCCAGAATATTCCTCAACAGCTGGAAGAGGTCCTGGAAAAATTTTCTATTACAATTTGTGAGGGCAAGCAACCTGGCTGTGTTAAGACTGAACTTGAAAATCAACAAAAGGGATTATACGTGAGTCAGATATATGTTGAACTAGAGGTTCCTATTTCTCCCAGTCACGTGTTTTACTACTAGGATGCAGTTTAACCCCTTTGGAATTTATGAAACCTGAAATCTTGGCTCTGTTTACATCAGTAATAAAACTGTTGCTGGTTGTAGTGGAGTGAGGATTTCTCTCGGGGCCCTCAAGTGTGAATAGTTCTAGGAGTGATGTGTGTGTTTGAGAGCCCTCCCAGTGATTTCCACTTCAGCCTACTAGGTACCAAGGGCAGGGTATACAGGGTATTCCCATTATGAAAAAGGGAAATGGAAAGCCAGAATTGTTCTGTATAAAGCAGACCCAATCCCTATACCAGGTTTTACTGCAAGAGTTTACACAAAGGGCTGGAGCTCAGTAGAGGGCACAGCTGAGAACAGGCTGAGACCTGTGTGAAAAAAGGTGTGATAAGGTGAGTGATATTAATTTTAGTACATGACCATAACACCCTTTGCTCTCCTTCAGGCTGAAAAAAGACCCACCAAAAAAAAGAAGGTTCTTCAGCCCCTTGCTGGCCATAAATTATATTAGCCTTCCTAGAGGGAATTTCAGCTGACGGATTTTAGAACTCATCAATTTATGGCACTTGGAAATGCTTTAAAAATATCTAGAAAATCCATCATTTAATTCTGATTAATTTTAATTTCTGCATCTTAACTTGATGAACAACTGAGAAATAAATTTTAAATTATGAAAGAAACACATATGGTTTTTTATCTTTAATTTCTATGGCATTTTGAAACTGCTTAAGGACCTATTCATTCTAAAAATAGTTCCTTTGTTTTAGACCAGGTTATCGAAAATCCTTATGATCAAGAAGGAACACATCAAACAATTGAGAGAGATGAATACAGAAGCAGAAAAGCTGGTGAGAATGTTCTCTTTTCAATTCTTAAAACAGGATATGCTTTAACAGCTGATGCAAATAGATACAATTAGAAGTAGAGTCTAGATAAAATCTGTATTTGATTGCTTCCTATAACATGAAATTTTTTTTTTATTTTTTTAAAGACAAGTCAGAGAGGTCAGTAGTTTGAAATATGATTCTCCTTTGAAAGCGTTTGGAAACTGATTAATGTTAATATCAGGATAGCACTTGTCACTTGACACATAAAGTAAGGAAATACTATGTACTTTGAGAACGTGGGGTACAAGTTTGTCTGGTAAGACATTCATCATAATATTACTTTGCAGATGTTAGATGCTTATTTTCTTAGCTTTCTGACTAAAACAATTACTCATTTCAGAGATTTTCTATGTAAAGCTCTGAGTGCCCGTGACCAGCATTTAAAATTACAGTACCAGAGCAGCTACAGCATAATTAGCAGCAGAATAGTTTTTCTTGCTAACTTTATCTAATCAGCAGTCAGTAAATCAAAATGATAAGAATGCCTTGTCTACCACCCGTGGCTATAAATCAACTTGAAAGCAGAAAGATATCAGTCTCAACCTTCTGCCAGCGCCCATTCAGGCTGTTGTCTCTGCAGCGTACAGACAGAAGGCTAAAGGTTTGTGGAGAGGAAGAGGAGTCCCTTTTATTTCTTGAAACCAAAACGCTGACTTCTTTTTTCATGTAAAATATTGAATGTTGAAGGTTTTGATTGATTGTGGTAAGATTTCTGATTTTGCCTCTTCAACGATCATATGCATATGTGCATTCTGTTACTCTGCTTCCTACTGCCCCATCCCCATGTCTCTGTAATTATCTTGTTTTGTGCTGTGATGAAGCCCTTCAGAACCTTGTCGTCATTTCAGTTACTACATTATTTTTCTTGTGCATCAAATGTTTTGTATTGTAATTTTGCGTGTTAGTAACTAAAGGAGATGCAAAGAGAAGTAGATTAAAACATACCATTGCAACCTGTAACTGTGATAATGAAAAAATTACCAACTCTTCTTAAAATAAAAAAAATTTTGCTTTTTCTTAGATATTGGTACTTTTGCATAGATAAGGAAATCATAGGAATGACAGTAGCCTTCCTCTTGACGAGAACCCAGATGTTAATGCATCTTTCAGCTACTAAATCATAAATTAACTGTATTGTTATTTTTCTTGGTCTTCTTATTCCACAAAATTGAAAGAGCAAAAAAGAGCAATGGGGAAGAAAGGAATCTAGAAATAAACATTAAATTTGATATATTTTAGGTCACTTGTAGCCTGGATAAGGACTTAGAGATACTTTTGAAATTCTTCCCTGCTCTATTTCCTTTGTAAACCAGCAATCATAAAACAACCTCTGTTACTATTCAAGGCTGCACTGATAAAAATAGAGGATGTGATACCTTCCTATTGGGCCATATTCTTAGCCTGTCTTCTAATCCTCTTTGTCCCTTGGCAATCCCATCTACATTTGTGCCACTGTATATGTGTTGTTTCTCCTTTAAAATATATTTCCTTTGAACAAGAATCTTTTTCTAGCCCAAATACATTTCAACATCAATAGCATACCCAAAAGTGAATAAAATCAAATCCTTTGAGTTCGTTCAGGTGTAGACTTTGTCAGACTTCGATAATAATTCATACAATTGTGATTTGATAATTGTTAGAGTAAAACCACTGTTTGGTTTAAAGTAATCCTTTTATTAAGACTTTTTTTTTTTTAATGACTGATTCAATATAGAAATAAATGGAACTGACCAAAATTAGAACAGATACTGAATGTAGTCCATTATTATTTGGCAATAATAATTAATCTACACAACTCATGAGATGCCTTCAGAGGAGCTATTAATGCATAAAACTGCACATTTTCTATTTCATTTTTTTGACATCACTATACAAGTCAGGGTTGCAGGCTATAAACAAATTACCATGTACATAAAACAGTAAACATTTGGATAAACAAATACAAATAAAAGGATGGACAGTTCATTTTTTCACTTGATCTGCAATAAAGACAAGGTAGAGGTAATGCTGGTTGTTTCAGAGAAGCATCTAGATGTGACAGACAGAGGTGTTACTTGTTTCCATCCACTGAAAGCCAATCCATCTTTTTTCTAACGGTTCAGCTGTTTGTCCCTGTTTCCAGATCTTGGATCAGAAACAGTGCTGGTGCTGAGAAATATTCCTTTCACCATCACTACCATAGAATGCCCTTAACCTTTCCTGATAGGGAATCCACAATTGTCTGCAGCTTTCACGGTTAGCCTGGAGTAGTCTACTCTGCTCTAGGGAAGCTGATCATTGGAGAAGGTCTGAAAGTTACAATTTTTTTCCTGTGTTCCAGAGCTGCAGGAAGTGTGTCAAATTTATGCTAGTTTCCAGTGAATTCTGAAATTATGGTGTTAGTTTAAAGCCCTGTTAATTTGGTATTCAGACTTGTAAATCCCTGAAGATTGTTTCAGTGATTGTTTAACTTTGAACTGAACTGATAACTGAAACCTTGATTTTGAGTTTTTGACAAGGATCCTCCTGATGAAGGCTCTTGGCTTTGCAATTTGGTTTATCTTGTGCTGTAAAATCTATAGCTACAGGTCTGATTGTACGAGATACCTGTATCTCAAACTAGTGGCTAGAAGTAGAAGTACATCCATCTTATGTTGCAAAAGGTATTTTTTGGAGGAACTTTTATAATATATTGTATGTTTTGTTTCAATTTCCGTAAATATCACTCAAACAATGTCAAGCTATATTCTGAAAAGAGTATAAGAAAAAAAGTACTGTATTCTGGTATTTATTCTTTTTGTGGAAACTGTGCTTACAAAATACTTACATTAACAAATATAAGCTCTAGTAACTCTCTTTTTTGGCAGAACTGTTAGCTGTAACAGAAGGTGTGTAGCACTGAGTCATCCTCAGGTGACCACTAACTTACTAGCCAAATGTGCCTCCCATCCTGCAGCAGAGGTGGTCGAGGCCATATTGTCCTATACTGTTCCCTTGCTGACAGGCTGACAGGATAGTTTTCTGCTGAACCAGTAGAGAGAAGCTATGCCCAGCTATTGGAGAATAAGCAGGTCAGACCACTGTCATCTTCTGTAGCATTTACCACCATAGATTATCTTTTAAGAAGAGAATAAAAGCGTGGTTGTTACCTACACACTTGTCACTTGGAATTATAAATAGTAATACTGCATTTTAATATTTTGTATGTTAACTTTTTTTTATTAAACGCTGGGATTTCAAATTTCTCAGTATTATTTTCCAGTGAAAGTTCCTTTTGATGAGTTCCAAATTTATAAATGTTCACTCCTGCATTAACTTTAATGTGCTTTGCGTTTTCCACAGAAATCCTATTCCATGCCAATAAGCATTGAGTTTCAGAGGAGATATGCAACTATTGTTCTAGATCTAGAACAGCTCAACAAAGACTTAAATAAAGTTTTGCATAAAGTTCAACAGTATTGTTATGAGGTAAGATTTTGCTGGAATCTGTATGTACTTGTTGGTTTTGCTTAATCTAAGTAGAAAACAGAATTCCTTGGGAATAGGGCATAGGTGGGGGTCACTTTGAAATGAAACTGTTAGTAGCTGTGTTGGATTCCTTCTCTGTCTCTGCCTTTGTCTGAGCAACAGACACTTTTGCTGATACCAGTGGCCTGTTTTTAAATAGACATACATGAAGAAAAAATACTGCATATTATAAACCTGTGAACTTTCTTTGAAATAATTTCATTTCACACATCCACCAAATGCAAAGGACATTTTAATTCTTCATTTTTTATTCTTAATTTCTCTCTGTTACATCTATGCAGCTTGCTCCTGACCAGGGCCTCCAGCCTGCTGACCAACCCACGGATCTGAGGCGTAGGTGTGAAGAGGAAGCTCAGGAGGTCGTCAGGCAAGCAAATACCTCATCGACAGGACAACTTTGTGTTGAGAGTGAAAATTTGACTGATCTTATCTCTAGGCTTACAGCAATATTACTGCAAATCAAGGTACGGTGTTTGCAAAAAATAGCATCTCCCATAAAATACATAGTATTAAAGCTCTGCCAGTTTCTTTGTGCTGAACTGTGAGAACATTTTTGTTTTCTTCTCCTACAGTGTCTAGCAGAAGGAGGTGATCTGAATTCCTTTGAATTTAAATCACTAACAGATTCATTAAATGACATTAAGAATTCAATAGACTCCTCAAATATCAGGTATTACTTTTCGAATATTTCTTAATTACCCATTTTGTGCCAGCAGGCAGTTCTTACTGTATTTTAGAGATGTACATTTGATTAAAATTCAGAGGTGTAATCTGGTAACTTCTGCTTAACAGGAAGGGTACCATCTAAAAAGGGGCTTCTTACAGCATATGTGAAAGGAGCAGTTTTCTGTTTGAACCTATCAGTGAAGTAACCTGTTAAAAAAAAAAAAAGCGCTGAATTGGTGCAGCAACACTAGACTTTCTTGTTCTTTAGTCATTTTAGAACATTTTCAGATTTTGAAATCCCACTTACAAGTTCTTTAAACTACAGAACAGTACAACTTCAGTGTTCTTTTAGCATACTCAACCTCTTGTCCGTAAATACCAAAAGCTGGCACATGAGACCAGCTTCCATTAGCAAGATTTTAAGCCAAGAAACAGAAGAACAGCAATATTGTGCCAGATCAAGACTAGATGGGCCATTTTTCAACAGTTGTCACAAGCAGGTGCCAGAGGAGGCATTATAAAAATAGCTAGAATGTGGTGATACTTGTCTGGAGTACACTGCAGCCTCCAGCAATTTGTGACCGGCATTTTTTAAATAATTAAGATGCTGCTAAATTACATCATTTAGAAAATATACCTAAGTGCTGCTAAATTACATCATTTAGAAAATATACCTAAGTGCTAAGTACCTTTTCTTATACTCTTATTACTTGTATTGCTGCATTTAAACAGGAGGCTGCACGAGTCTTTAAATTTTGAATTTTTTTTCCCAAAGATAGTAGGATAGCCTTTTATTTCAAAACAATTATTGAGAAATGCTATTTTATAGCATCTTTCATTAGTAAAAACAAAAACCCCAAGCATTAGTGAAACTTCTCTACGATCAACACTGCAAATTACACATTAGAATGGATTCGACTAAAGGTTGGTGTACCCAGCGAAGAATGTGATGTTTCCATTTCATTGTACTTATTTTGGGCATTTTAGCATGTCTTCATAATATTTTGATTTCACTAACTCTGGTCATGTTAAAGCCTTATTTAAAGTACCCAAGTCAGTAACTCTTGATTTCATGCAGCGGTTTGTGCAAATGCTGTTTTCACGTATTTCTCTGTCAGGTTGCATTTGTTTCTACCGCTCTCCAATTCATCTGAATTTTTATACTGGCTGTGTTCACATCTTGATTTTCACTGTAAAAATATTCAGACACAACTCTTAAATATGGGGTTAAACACTTTTATTTATTTCCTTCTTCTTTTCTTCCCATAGTTGCTTTCAGAACAACGTTGAGATCCATGTTGCACATATTCAGAGTGGTCTGAGCCAGATGGGAAATTTACATGCTTTTGCAGCTAATAACACCAACAGAGACTGAAAACTTCCTCTCAAGTGTACAGCAAGTAGTTCTGGAAAACCTTCCTTTCTATAGGCTTCACCAAATATCCTAACTGCCAGAAGATAAGGGAAAAGAAAACCTCTCAGAAAGGACCCTTTTGAATCTATTATATCCGCTTCTTAAGAAAACCAGCATTACTGGCCAGCGTTACATTAGATTTCTCCATTTGTTATTCACATGCAGTAGTTTTGCTAACTGGTAATCTCTTAGTAATTGCATTTATTATAGTAAACTTGAAAACATACTTTCATATAATTTGAACTTAGTTTTTGAAAGTTCAGATTAATTCTGTGCACCTCTTGCTGTTGGGTCTCCTGGTATGTTAGAAGTGACGAAGAGGAAATGGTTCAGTTTAGTAGCCACATGGCAGGTCTTTGTTGTGTAAAGCTACACTTCTGTGTAAGTCTTGAGAACTGCCAGCACCATCCCTGATCTAAGAAAGCAGCAGCAGGATACAGGCAGCAAACATAAGCTGTAAACATGAGGATGTTGGGCAGGTCTGTCAATCAGTCAGTGTCTTGTTGGAGCTCTTAATTTATCGTAACTTATAGAAGGAGTCTAATGAAGGAATATAAAAATGTAACTGGTAACTTTCCAGAAAGAAATTGGTTATGGCTTTTTCCCTCCACACAGGGCAAAAGAAGTGCCGTGGTTGGTATTTTATATAAATGACTGGTTAAACATATTGTTTTTCCAAATTTTTGTTTGTTTTGCACAACTTTTAAATTAGATTACTGGTTATTCAACAGTACCCAACGTATATAAATATGAAAATTTTTATAATGAAATATACCCAGTGAGGTAAACTACAAAAATAAAAAGTGAGAACCTGCCTAGGAATTGGAATTAACCTTTTGGAATGTTAATCTTGTAAAAAGTGTGTATTGGTTTGTTTAAATAGTCTTGTAAAGCTTCTGTGTAATGAATTGTTTCCAGATTTGAATTTTCAGAGATAGCTGTAGAGATGTTTTTGATTCTTTTAGATGCCTCATTAAATAAGGTCTTTTATATGTTAATGTATAAAGAATATGTAAACAGGATTATTTTCAATTTAAAAATTTTGTATAGTTTAAAGATGCTTCTGTATTCTGTGTTGGTATTGTGCCACTGCAAAACTTTAGTGCAGAGTTTATATTTAGCTAAACTTGTTCTGTTAATTGAGAGAAATGCATAAATCTTTTATTCTCAATGAAATTTGTAACTGAATAAATTGAGCTATGAGAGTTGATATATTTCACAAAAATGCAAACTTTTTTGCAGATGGTCTCAGGTCATTTTTTTAAGAGAAGTTAATTGCTGAAAAAAGAAATGTTATGAGGGCGAGGTGAGTAGCTGTTTTAAAAGGTACTTAGAAACTTTACAAGAAGTATTACAAAATAATGCTAAACAGTAATTTAGCTGAATTACCCATGGAAATTTACCTCTCATAATGCAATAGAACATTATGGTGGTCCCTGCAATTGCTTCTGTAATTATGTTACCCATTATTTTGTGATGTTACCATCTGTTTGGTAAAGAAGACAGAAATGTGTCCTTTCCCACCACCCTTTTCATTTAAACAGAGAAAGGTGCCACAACCTAACTTAAGGTACATAGGTTTAGTAGACAGGAACTAATATGATCTACAGCTAACTCGGGAAAAAGGAACCATCCCCTTGCACCCCTGTCCTTGTCTTCTGGTGCTCATAAAACCCACTATCCTTTCTTTAATTATTGCAGGGTAATAGGAAGATACACCATTTGTAACACGCATATCTGTGTACTTTCACCTGTCATTTGTCTATTCCTGCTGTCAATGTGAATATACACATCTTTTCTTTGAGAGGCTGCATTTCTCCTTGGGTACCAATATGTTGGGTTAGAGATAATGTTGAATTTTGGTGACAGTAACAAATATGACTGTTTTTGCTGAATGTGCCCTAAGCATAGCAGGAGTCTCAAGAACTCACTGCAGCTACTATAACTGAAGTCTGCAGGAGCAGAACAAGTTACTTTCGTTTCTTAAAATCAGTAAACTTGAATTTACCGTGAGCCTCCAAGAAATGATGGTTTCATTTTTTGTGAGTGCTTCTCTTCAGGGGTCTTCCTGACCCTCAACATAGCAGCTCCTTTTGCACCCAAGTCCATTTGGGAGACAGGTGCTGTCCTGAGGTTAGATGGTTTTTGCTTCATGTTTTTTCAAGGGCAGCCGTGTTTTTTGGAGGGAGAATATTAATCAGCAGTCCTGCTATGCCACTTCACTTACAAGCTTGCAGTCCAGCCAGGGTTCAGCTGTCCCAGATCTCACAAGCACAGGTATGTTATGGGGTGGCACTGAGGAATTTTGTGCAGTGGTAGCCTTATTCTAGCAGGAGCGTGATTCCTGACATAGGATATTTCTGCCACCAGTACATGGGTAATGTTTCCTGTGCTTCTGACCCTCATGTCATTCAGGTGCTCTCCCCTAACTGTAGTCTTACAGCTCGCTTTGGTAGGCTCTGATGTACCACTTTGTAGGTTGGCCTTATCCTCAGAATACATATGCAGTAATTTATCCTTCCTCAATAAACTGAATTACAGGAGAGGCTTCTGTTACTACTGATTTTGGCATTCTCAGTGCAGAGCCATTCAGCCCACAACTCATCATTGAACAGCTTCTGTGGAGTCACTAGAATTCAGAGCTGAAACACCTTTACAGTGTCCACAAAATAGTTCTACTTTTCTGTATTTTAACACTGACATTGGCTGAAGTGGCAGACTGGATGCTTTTGTCTGAGCACTTGAGATTTGGAGTTTCATACTACTTAGTCCATAAATTTGCATTTTAGTTCAGGGATGGGGGTGTTCATTTAGAGCAGATTTGAGACAAATACTGACAGAGAAGGTTTAAGGCCGTTTCTCTAACCTATCCTTCAGGCCCCTTAGGTCTCTCATTGGCAGCTGAACCGCAGCTGTGGCTCTCCAGGACCCGAGAAGAGAACTTGTAGCTGGGATATCTATCACTTTCCTACCTCATGTCAGCCAAGGTAATACACCCTGCTAAAACACACACAAGCAGAGCAAAAATGTAAACCTTTATTTTTTTCAAAAAACCCCGACAGACCATCCCACTCTTTTCTAAGACCAGTCCCCACCCCCAAAACACAGTGGATTTGGTTAGCTTTTTGGCTAAAGAAGGTTAAATAGAAATACAAAACACGCTATCAGAAAGCTTTAAGTACAGGGTAAAAAGATGTCCTCAGCTGATGGAGCCGACCCGTATCTTTCTTAAATAAATAGGTAAAATCAGTTACTACCGGATAAAGTGCAACAGTGGCAGAGCAGCTGGGGTGAGGTAGCGCGCTGTGTGGCTGCTCCCCGCCCGAGCAGCGCACCCCGGGACGGGGTTTGGCGGGTTGGGCTGCGGGTTTAACCCTCTGCCCAGGCCGGGCCGCGTCCCGCCGGGGCGGCGCTCAGAGGGCGCGGAAGGCGCTGAGCGCGTTCTCCTCCCACTCCGAGCCCGACTCCGAGTAGCCGCTGGTGTCCTCGGCGTCCGACACGGGCGAGTACTGCCCGCAGAAGGCGCGGGCCGGCGCGAAGGGGCCGGCGGCGCTCCCCGCGAACGGGGCGGGTTCGGCCCGGCCGGGCTGGCCGGGCGGGAAGCCCTCGAAGCCGGGGCAGGGAGGGAAGGCGGCGGCCGGCGGCCACTCGTAGGGGGCCGAGCCGTCCTCCGCCCGGGCCGCCCCGGGGAGGGCGCGGCGGGGCCGCTCCGGGGCGCGCAGGGCGGCGAAGTGGGGCGGCCGCGGGCAGGGCGGCGGCGCGGCGGGGCCGGGGCGGGGCGGGCCCCGCTGGCGGCGGGACTTGGCGCGGCGGTTCTGGAACCACACCTGGGGAGAGAGGGCGGCGGTGAGGGCGGCGGGGCGGCCCCGGCGCCGCGGGTGCGGCGCGCCCGACGCCCCTCACCTGGATGCGGGACTCGGGGATCTGGGTGGCGTCCGCCAGCTTCTCCCGCAGATAGATGTCCGGGTACATGGTGTCCTGGAAAACCAGCTCCAGCGTCTCCAGCTGCGCCGCCGTGAAGCTCGTCCGCTTCCGACGCTGCGAGGCCGCCGGCGCCCCCTCCGACGGCTCGGCCGAGGGAAGCGCCCTGAGGGCGGGCGAGGCCGGGCCGGGCCCACCGCCCCCCGCCCACCTGCCCGCGGGGAAGGCGGGCGGCTCCGCCGGGGACCCCCCGAAGCGCAGCGCGGCCATGGCAGCGGCGAGCGGGGGTCCAGACCGTGCCCCGCCCTTTATAGCCGGGGAAGGGGGCTCGGCGGGGGCGGGGGTTCGAGGGGGCGGCACTGCCCCGCGGGGAAGGTGAGCGCTGGGGCCCCGCCGGGCTGGGGGCCGGGAGGTGCCCGGCTGGGGCGGCCTCTGCCTCGCTCAGCCCAGAGGACTCGGCGGTGGCCGGGCACCGCAGCCCTAGGCCTGCCCGACGGGGTGGGTGATGGCCGGCAGCCCTCGGCTCCCTGCGCGGAATATGGACAGCAGAAGGGAGAGGGGAGAGGGAGCTTTGTATCTGTCCTTTGTGGGAAAAAGAACTTGGTGTTGGGAGGCTGGCACCCCGCATAGGACTGTCCCCCAGCTGGGTTATTTCTGATAAAACATCTGGGCTGACAGGGTTATGGAGTTCCCTCCCTCCATCTACTGGTATGGAGGTAGATGTCCTCCAGCAGCTGTCTGCTTTGGCGAGTGATGAACCTTGCATGGTGTGAGACGTAAAGCAAACAGAAGTTATCTCTTCCCGTGGCTGCGGCTGCTCTGCTTGCAGTGCTTTGCTGCCAGCTGTGCGCCGGTGTATGGCCTCCTGCTGTGCCTGCTGCTGCAAAAACATCTCTTTCTTTTTAAGATGCAAGTTAAATGCACCTGGAGAGCCAGAGCCAGACGAGGCAGAGGCAGCCGCGGGTGTCATCGCCTTTCCCACCCACTTGCTAATGCCTGTGTACTCCTGCTCATCGCACAGTTCTGCCGTGACTGTTTCCCAGCCCACACACTCTGACCAACACCAAGGCACTTAAAAAACGGTTTGCCCTCATTTTGCTCTACACGACTGTCTCCTAAAAAAAGTGACTTTGTAAGGAAAATTGTGGTTTGATTGTTAAAAGCCATTTTTGGAACTTTTATTCCTAAAGCTCTAATACATTTGTGCTTTTGCACATGTAGCAATCCAGGTGCTTTCATTACAGAAGTTTCTGGGTTATTCCCAAAATCATGGCCTGTAGTCAGAACTTCTGACAGAAGTCAGAAACATGAGATTTTTACAGTGTTCTCAATTAGCGGAGTAATGAGAGGACATAGTGGTGAGAAAGGACACGGTGAGTGGTGATCCAGAAAGCAAAGACAGCATTATTTTACATTTTTATTACAGAAGGGTTAAATTCCTCTGCAGACTCTGTGCAGATTTAGAAGATGCCATAGGTGGCACCAAAAGGGAAATTACTTCGTAATGCATTTGCATGATGAATATTTTATCCGATTTTACATCTAATTATATTTGCTTAAAAACATAGCAGAAGTTTCTTTTCTGAGTAATGAAGAATAGAGATGTGACATCCTTTAGGTTTCTGAAAGATTTAATCTTGCTTTGCCCTTATAGGAACATTGACTTTAGTTTCAAGGATTTGGTTAAGGTTGATTAAGTTTGCCAGAAAGAAAACAGGTTTTTGAGGAAATGTGTTTTTTCAGACACATGCATATGTTTTTCTTTCAGGAACAGCCCGGGCTTAAGGAGCTGCTGGCACCACAGGCACCCCACTGTTTACCCCCATCCTGATGTCTTCCCTTTAGCTGAGCATGTGTCTAAGCTATGTGTCACTCCACACAGTGCAATCAAGGAATTAATCCAAGTTAAATTAACTGTACAGTAACAGCAGTTGGGGGGGTTTTTTTAATCCAGAACTGGGATCCCACCTGTGGGTTACCAGCAGCCCCTGGGACAGCTGTGCAAGCGAGAGCACACTGCCAGATGGAGCAAGAGGGAGATGAGGGGATCCCATCTGGGGTGCTTCTAGGACTACCACTACATGGATCTAATGCTGAGCTAGAAGAGAACAAAACTGAGACAGACTATCCAGGAGTGTAGTGGTTTTCAGTGTCAGACTTCCCATTAAGATGACTATCAATGTATACTGAATACATACTGAGGAAAGAGCTAACAGACCTGTTCCCAACTCATAAATCTGGAAATGGGCTGACTCTTTGATCTCTGACTGCTGTGACATCCTTCAGGCAAAAAGCCTTCTCAGTTCCCTTGCTGGTTCCCTTTATGGTTTCAGAGTTGTTCCAATGGCTGTCTTGCGACAGCAGCTGACGTGCTTCCCCTGATGAGGAAATAAATGGTGAGGTTTCCCAGGCCTGAAAGCTTTCATTAGGAGATAGAGATGTAACATTTATAGACTATTAAAAACAAGTCTACTTTGTTACAGCAGAAGAAAGGTAACTTTTACGCAGTAAATGTTGTTGCAATGTATGTTGTACGTGAGTGCAGGGTAACCGCTGGCTCTGCGGTGTGGAATAGGAAGCCTGTGTCACCGAATTGTGGGCAAAGCAGTCAGTGCCTTTCGTGCAGCCCAGGTTTACACACACAGGCTCCAGGGCGTGGGGTTCATGCTCAGGCTCTGAGAATGAGAGAATTGCAGAGAATTGCAGAGAATTGCAGAGAATTGCATTTTCTAGCGGATGTACCTGAGAGGGCTAAGGCTGCTGTGAGCAGGTCGGGCTGCACTGCTTGGCTGCACACCTTTGGTGCTGACCTCTGTTTACTTCTGGCCTGCCTCAGTTTCTCTTTCTGGGCTAATACCAGCATGATGATATATCTTGGTGATGAGTCCTTATTTGCTTACCAGTGGTATGTGCTGGATGCAAAGCAGAGCAATTCTGGGTCCATAGCCCAGGAATCGTATTTTCTCTTTCCTTTTGCTCACACTAATTTCCTCCATGGGATCCTGGTGGCCACCCTTCTGTATTGGCTTGGTTTAAAAGGGATCTCAGATTGAATAAAGGCAAGGGTGCTCTGATTGTAAAGGAGTGTGCTGTTAGGTGGAGATCAGAGTAGGAGGTTTTTGCCTTCTTCTAGACAAGCAGAATGGCAGAAAGACATCTGCTTGCTTCTTTCTGCCAGTTCTCTCCCTCCCAACATTGGCACACTTCACAGCTCCTACAGTGTCATCCCACTGATGTCCTAAAAGCCATGCCTGTGGAGTAGTGTAGTGTGCCTCCTGCAGCAAGGAAAATGTGCTGTGTCTGGATTCAGTGGAGTTTCTTTTCCCTAACAAGTAGTTTTGCATCCTGCTGTGCCCCTGGTAGTCTGACAAGGAAGTTTCCAACGTCTTGTAGGTGCCAATATCTGCATGGAGTTATACCTAGGCAAGGGCTGGAAGCATTTAGGAAGACATTCAGAACTTCCTTGTTTCCTATTCTGCATACTTGCTTTTACTTTTGTCCTGTCTAGATACAAAGGGGGATTTTACTTCTTCCCCTCAGATGCAGAAGGTATGATATAAGTCCAGGAGTGGCTTGCTTTTTGAAATTAGGATGGCTAAAACTGAGAGAGCTATCTCTGAGGGAAGAGCAAACTGCCCTGTGTTGCTATGATCCTGCCTTACATGACTTGAGGAACTGGAGCTTGGGAAGCATCCCAGAATGTATGGCAAGAGTATGCAGTAGTGTGACATCCAGTTGTGACTTTGCTGACAAAACAAACACACCCGTTTAGATAACTAACACACATGAGCAGTTCTGCTGCTCAGTCCTGGAGGGGATGGGACATGATGGGTTTTATCATGCAGTGGTTTGTAATTGCTAGTGCAGCCTTTGATGTGTTCAAACTCTTCTGGCTTCTCTCATCACCTTGGTCCTTCTAGGACTCTTCAGGGACACAGCTCTTGCATGGTATTTTGTCATCCCAGCAAGACTTACTGTTTTTTGGTTGTTGTTTTTTTTTTTTGGTGGCTGTCTTTACCATTAATCCTCTGATCTCTAAACCTGAGATGGAAGTTTTCAGTAGTGCAAAGTTAGCAGTATCTTGTCAACCTGACTAAACTTGCAAAGACTTGGTATCTCAGGGATCTCAATTTCTACATCTACAGAGAAACAGGCCAACAGGCTCAAATCTTATCACAGAATCACAGAACGGTTTGTGTTGGAAGGAACCTTAAAGATCATCTAGTTCCAACCCCCCTGCCATGGACAGAGACACCTTCCACTAGACCAAGTTGCTCAGAGCTCCATCGAGCCTGGCCTGGAACACTTCCAGGGATGGGACATCCACAACTTCTCTGGGCAACCTCTGCCAGTGTCTCACCACCTTTACAGTAAAGAATTTCTTCCTAATATCCAGTCTAAATCTGCCCTCTTTCCACTTAGAGCCATCCCCCTTGTCCTGTCACTACATGCCCTTGTAAAAAGTTCCTCTCCCTATATTAGGAGACTGACCAAAATAAAAGGAACAGTGGTCACACAAACCTGATTTCATTAACTTAGAAAAAGTTTAAGAAAGAACAAAACCACACTTTTGCTGTTAAGACGTAGCTTAAGTTTAAGCTATATTGAAGAAGCAATCCCTGGATAATTATCTGACAAATAAAATTAATTGTAGACCAGAGACATTTGTATGGTTGTGCATATAACTGCATTTGCCTCAGAGCTTCTGCTGGCATGAAAATGCCACATAATTTCCAGCTTCTTTAGCAGGGTCCTGATAGTAGAAATTGTTATTGCGTGTTAGACTAAGGTTTTGAGTTTTTTTCATTATGCCTAAGAGGAAATCTTTGGATGAATACTTAATTTCCCTTTGATGGCTTCTAGTCATTCTGACAAAGCTCTTTACAGCCTCCAAATGCTTTTAGAGGTTTATCAGGTCTTCCCAATGTACAGACACCAAGATCTATATACTGAGGCTTTTAGGTAGAGTTCTGAGATCTCACAGTGATGTCATGTTTTTAATTTACAGTTCTCATTGTTCTATCCCTCGTAGCTGTAATAAGGAAGAGCTTGAGCAGGTGGGTTGTTTATAGTCCTTGCTCTGACATGGTTTGCAGATGGCTTGAGATGTATTCTTGAGAGACCTGAGCTGCCTGTCCATTGTGGATGTTCAGCTGTGCTCCTGAGAGCCCTTCCTTGCCAGAGCCCTCTACAGAGAAGAGGAGTTTTGCCCTTCTGGTCAGCCCAGGAAGTGTATTCGCCTCCACCTGGGAGACAATGAGGTGGATACAGCCAGCATCTTACTTCAAGGCCAGAAGTGTGACTTGGCCACACTCCAGGCGTCCCCAGACTGTCCCAGTTGGCAGTGGGTGCTTGGATGTGGCTGAGGAGTGAAAGGGAGAGCAGTGCTGTCCCTATTTTCTGTCTGACAGCGTGACCTGTGGTAGTGCAGCCATGGTGTCCTGAATGTTACCTGTGACCAAGGGACTGGGCTGAACCCCTTTCAGGGCTTTTGTACCAACGGGTAAGAAATACGGGAGGGAGCCCCTTGCACTGGAGAACCAGAAGGATGTCAGAGCCTGGTGACATCAGTCCCCAGCACAGGCTGCTGCTCATGCAGCCCAGCCCAGTGCAGTGCCACCAGTTATTTCAGATCCCAGAGTAAAGGGCCAGGCTTGCCCAGCAGCTCTGTGCACTGATCTTCCATGGGGTTAAAATAAATGCAATGTGATAAGTGGTTGTGCCCACTCTGAAAGATGACTGTGCTTGGCTCAGACCTGGTTCCCTCTATATATGCATGATCTGTTTTGCTTTGAAAATTAAACTGCTGTCTCTCTTTGGTTTTGGCAACAAGAAGCTAATAGTATATTGTGACTTTAGCCCTGTGCTTAGGAGGGGGATGTGACTTGGTGGGTTAAGCCATTTCCTGAGAGGTGTGAGACAAGACTTCAAGACCTGGTGGTGCTGTTCGTGTATTCTGCTCCAAGGAGTTGATAAGAGCTTCAGACACACAGAGAGCCTTGAAGAAAGCGCCGGTGGGGGAGGCGTAAGAACCTGGCAAATGCATATGAAAAGATCAAGGGGCTGCATTTGCTAAATCCCA